CCATTGCATGACTATCGCCATCGGATCTCTTCCAGTGCTAATTGGTAGAAATGGCTTGAAAGAAAACAAAGTGGTGACTTGGAAAAGGGAAAAAATAAAAAACAAAATGACGAAATACCTAGCATACGCAAATCCTGAATTAGATCTATAAATTAATTAATAATTTGTTGAATTTGCTAACCTGTTTAATTTTTTTCTATTTTGGGCGGCTTTAAAGGGGATTTTCCCTTTCTTTCCAAGTCAAAATATAATTAGAAAACTCGATGAAATAAAGGTGCCCTCAAAGTTGAATAAACTCTAGACTTTTCAACATATAATAGTGGCACGAGCAAAGTAGATACATTAATTTTCTTGATTTACACATATAGTTAAGCGTTCGCATTCGGTGCTCATCAGCCTGATGAGCACGGCTGATGAGCACCGACTCAAAACACACCGTTTTGAGTAAGTGAGCAAATCTCATCCGTTCATTACAAAATAATCTCAGTTGTCAGTTTATTTAATGCATTCCTCCTCCAATTTCTTTCCCAACATGTTGAGTCTGTGAGCAGGGAGATGCAGCAACTCTGACGACTTGGTAGGATCAACGCATGGTGGTCTAAGTCGTAAAATGATAATGGTTATTTGATGATTTCACCGATAATCAAAATGTTGATCCCACTACAAGTTTGATGCTATCGGCGTTGGTAAGATTTTGCATCTTAGAGGGTGAAAGGGCTGGGTCTAAAAGGAGGGTTCTGCAGAATATTAGCGCAGGATCCATAGGTAAAGGATTCCAATCTAAAATTCCCAACTTGTTGCAATATTTTGAAAATCAATAATGACATTTGTATATAATGCATGTGGTTGAATCATTTGATGTGGTTCCTTATATATTATTGTTTCATGAGTTGTCTTCCACTATGTTCGATCCTCACACAAATTTCATTATGGTTTTGAAATTTGTGAAATGGTTTTGGTTATATCACTTCAATAATTTTTTTAGGCATAATGACATGCTGATATTGCATTTCTAGTGATAATATTTTAAGGAATAAGGGTCAATCGTGGACATTGCTGCAATATTCTATTAATTATGTTTTGGAGTTCTTTTTCTTAAATTTTTTTTTATCCATCTCTTTTATTATTTTTTCCTTCAGTGCAGCGTGAACACACAATGATTTTAATCAGCCAGCATGGTAGTGCATAATTAAGGGATGTCAATTAATTTTTATGAACCGGTGATCTATATTATGTAATCACCTGAGGTTTTAACCAGTTACAAAACAATGTATTAAATATATTAAATTACGTGTCTAGATGAAGTGAATATTATTTAAATGAACTCATCTATGCTAAAAATATATTCATAATTTTTTAAAAACGCATACATGTGGCGCATACATGTAGGAGTTACATGAATGTCTTAAATGTACATATTAGTCAAAGTTAAATTAATTAGTGTCAAGTATCCAATGCATTGCAAAATTATGATAACATAGGTGAGGTTTTAATTTGCGTTTCCACCAAGTTGATCATACCAAGATTATGTTAACTGAGGAAACCCAACTTACGTCATTTGAAACAATTAAATCCCAATTACAGTTTTACTTGTGCACAGCGAAACAGTTTACAATTAATATAGATACTTGTGCAATTGTGTCACCAAGTTTTTCCTATCCGATTTATACTGTCAGTTCAAAAATTATACCGTTGTCAAATTATAAATGGGAGTATACCCCTAGAATAATTAATGAGTACCTAGAACATGCGAATTCAAAATATGTTAAATTTTTTATCTGACATTTTAATAGTTGATACATTAAGATTTATAGAAAGGGCCTTATTTAGCTAAATCGTGACAAGTGCAAGACGTGCTTCCTTTCAACTGCCACCACTTCCTCACGTTTTCAATTCATATGTCACGTACGAGTGTTATGTTTTCCTGCTACGCACTTATGGCGGTATACTCTAACTAACTACCTCACAAGCTTTCATATAAAATATAGAATAGATAGATTACATAAAGATAATGAACAGAATGAAGTGAAGACTATTCAAAGACAGCAGTCTCAATTCCAGCAAGTCTCAGCATGGCTAATGATGGCTCTTGCCCAACAGCAGTATTTTCTCCAGGTTTCTTTGTCTCATTTCTATATCAAAACCATGGCACATCGCGATTTCTCACCCCGAACTACTTTTTTCTGTGACTACATTATATTGCTATTTTATCCGATGAATGATTACTTACCTGTGGCATAATCTTCTATTCACACAGTAGCCTACTATTCTCCATTCATGGAATTTACCATGTTTATCAACATTTAACCTATCAGATATGTTGTTTTAATCATGGCTGTTGCAACTCGATAAACAGAGACATTTCTCATGTCTGCCGATTTATTTGATTGTACTTGGAATCTATGTATATTATGACCTATCTAATAATTATCTTTGTATATGCTGCAATTTCGTCAGAAAATACTATGTTTGCCATGGCACGGGCTCAACACTTAGATATACTCAGGAAAAAGAAGAGAAAATGTTATGGATATGTTGACGGTGTGTATGAACATTTTTTGGGTTATTTAGCTATATATTGTGGACACTCTTCCGTATTGGCTTAACAGTACATTTACATGCTATCTACCTCCACAGAAAACTCAAGTGTGGATACTCAAGCTTCGCGGCCGAAAAAACAAAAAGTGGTGTCTGACCCATCAGCGTTGAGAACAATAACAAATAGTAAGCTTTCCCAATAAAGAACCATGTATCAGCATTACAGAGTTTTGTTACGATAAAGTTCTATCTGGCGAAAATAATTTTCTCTGATCACCTAGATTTTTCTCATAAACAAATGTTCTGGAGTTGACGGTTTCTTTGACTAAGTTTGGCGTATTTTATATCAAAACTGAATAAAACTATTATGTGAAATGTAATTAATCCAAATATCCACTAATAACTGGTATATATTTAATGTTGATGATATATCATGTACATATTTTGATATAAACATGTAAATGTTATCATATAAGAATTTTGTTCATAGCACAATATATGAATAGTATAATTTTTATTCAATTAAGATAATCTTATATGATTTTTGTATTCTAGAGAGCTGACTGATACCTAAATATTTATCATTTTTTCATATTCTCCGCTGTGAATATCGATATGAATATTAATTAATAATTATCACATATTGTATTATTGTTGTCAGAGTTTTCATTATCTAATATAATAGGTGATAGTTCCTGAAAAAACATGTATTAATTATTTGTTACTCATTATTATGAAGTATCACTACTTAATTGGTAAATACAATTTAGTATGCTTCTTTTTCACGTTGATAACTGTTTAAAGGATAGCTCAATTACCTTTTTTCTTCTTTTTTTTTTTTAGATTGTTCGGCAATGCCAGCGGCAAATCAAACCCTTCATAGCTTAGCAAGGTTGCAGAGGCTTGATATTCGTCGCAAGAAAGCAAACAAATTACCCCAGAGTTCATTCCAAGAGCATGGTCAGTCTAGCACTTTAGCAAGTAATGTTTATGGTAAAACAGTGAATACTTAATTTGCTACATTTTTTCCTGCTTTATTTAGGCATCACCTTATATAAAAACCCATTCCAATTTTTTTAATTTACTAACTCACAGAATTGCAAAGAGACAAGGACTTAGGTGATCAAGATTTCATTTGTTCTTATTGTAATGCTAAAATGTGGAGCGATGAACGTCTGAAAGGATACAAACATGAAAGTTTGCCGCGATTCGGAATGTGTTGTCATCAAGGGAAAGTTCATCTTCCAGCTTTACAAGATCCTCCTGCTGAATTATTAGCTTTACTATCCGGAGAACACCCTCAAAGCAATCACTTTCGATCACATATTAGAACATACAATATGATGTTTGCGTTTACATCAATGGGTGGAAGAATTGATAGAAAAATAAATGATGGACGAGGCCCATATGTTTACAAGATAAATGGGCAAAATGTGCATATGATTAGGAGTATATTGCCAATGGATGGTGCCACACCTAAGTTTGCTCAGCTATACATCTATGACACATCAAATGAGATTACTAACAGAATATTTGTTGTCAGGTAAAACTAAATTACTGTACATCACCGTTAAATCTAAACTAAATTATTTTAACGTTTTAGTACTGCATTTTATGATTTGGAATTTATTGGCCGACAGCTCACTTGCCTACGATTTTATTGTTGACACTTGCAATGGTGAGACTAGCAACTCATCAACAGTATATGTTTCTCTTGTACAATTGATACAGGAAATCTTGGATGAGCACAATGAATTGGTTAAAATCTTTCATCGAGCGCGTGATCTCCTGGCTGCTAATGAGGAACATACTATCAAAATTAAGCTTGTGCATAAGGGGGGAAGAAATATCCAACAATATAACTTACCCAGCTCAAACCATGAAATAGCTACTTTGATAGTAGGAGATATTGGGTCAACAGAATACGAAAGAGATTTGATCGTTCAATACAAGACAGGCATGTTACAGAGGATATCTGAAAAACATAGTAATTTCTTGCGATTGCAATATCCTTTATTATTTCCTTATGGCAAAGGTGGTTATAGTGAAGATATACCTCATATAATATTCACAGATGATGAGCCAAACAAACCCTCATATGTTTCATTGCGTGAGTATTTTGCTTATGTAATCCAAGATAGAGATAATGAATTCTCTACAATTCTACATGGTGGAAAGTTATTCCAACAGTTCATTGTTGATGGATATACCATGATTGAAGCAAGTAGGCTTAATTTCTTACGGAATAATCAAATGCAATTGTGTGCCGAAATGTATAGAGGATTAACTGATGCTATTCTCTTGGGGGAGAGGGAGGCAGCTGCATGAGGAAAAAGAATTATTCTTCCATCTTCTTTTACTGGAGGTCCGCGTTACATAATGGGTAATTACCAGGATGCAATGGCAATTTGTAATTGGGCTGGATATCCTCAACTCTTCATAACATTCACTTGCAATCCAAAATGGCCAGAGGTGACTAGAGCACTGGAAAGACAAAAATCAAAGTTGGAAGATCGCCCAGATATTTTATGCTGAGTTTTTCACATGAAATTAGAAGAATTGATGCAGGATTTACAAATGGTGATATCTTTGGTCCTATTAAAGCAGGTATTAATATTTATCATTTATTACTTGCACATAAATTTGTATTACTATATTTTAGAATACCATTACACACCATTGCTCGCACTATCTTCTTTACTTCAATCTTATATCAACTAATGAACTTTTACCTAATAGCCTTGTATACAATAGAGTTTCAAAAGAGAGGTCTCCCCCATGCTCATATCATTCTATTTCTGGCAACTGAGACCATGCTTGATACACCCCAAGATATTGACCGATTCATAAGTGCTGAGATACCTAATAAGGATGAAGAACCAGAGCTTTATGAGGCAGTTAACATTTACATGATGCACGGACCTTGTAGCGTAGCTAATCCTAAATCCCCATGTATGGTGAATGGAAGCTGTTCAAAATTTTATCCAAAATCATTCAATTCTAGCACCATTATCCATGAAGATGGCTACCCGCGTTATAGAAGACTAGATAATGGCCAAGAAGTAATGAAAAATGGAATACCATTGGACAATAGAAGTGTCATACCTTACAACAGCACATTATTATTAAAGTATCAGGCACATATTAATGTTGAGCGAACCAAGCATGGAGAGTCAATCAAATATTTATTCAAATATGTGAGCAAAGGACATGATCGAGCTATTGCAGCTTTCTATACAGAGACGTCTTCAAGTGATTCTAGAGCAAACCATGATGAGATAAAGATGTATTATGATGTCCGCTATTTATCACCATGTGAAGCTATTTGGAGAATACTTAGTTATGATATAAACTTTAGAACACCTTCAGTACAAAGGCTGTCTTTTCATCTCCCTAATCAGCAATCAATTATCTATGAAGATAACGCTGACTTACAAGAGGTGGTAAATCATAATGCTGGAAAACTCACAATGTTTGAAGCATGGATGAATGCAAATAAATTATATGGGGAAGCACGAAGATTAACATACTTTGAATTTCCAAACAACTTTGTGTACAAAAAAAATGGTAATTACTGGGACTTCAGGAAATCGGGGTTTGCAATAGGGAGATTGTACTATGTGCCTCCTGGGTCTGGAGAGATCTATTATTTGCGTTTACTGCTAGCTACAGTCAGAGGTCCTACATCATATGAAGATTTAAGGACCGTTGATAGCATTTTCTATCCAACATTTAGAGATGCATGCTATGCATTGGGCCTATTGGAGGATGACAGAGAATATATTGATGCTATGAAAGAAGCAAATCAATGGGCTTGGCTTCTCCAAGTTATCTTCGTCGTATGTTTTCAATCTTATTATTGTGCAACTGCATATCTCAACCAGAAATTGTGTGGGAGCATACATGGAGATTCATGGCTGAAGACATCACATACATGCAATGACAATTAACTGGTTATACAGGTATCAATTTACCCATATCTTTGACTTATCTTTATTAGGCATGCAACACTACCTAAGAAGAACAAAAAGTAAATGTCATGCAGTTTTTCAATCATATATTTTAAAATGCTTTATTCGTATTAGATATTCATTTCTGGTTTATTTAAATATATATTAGAACGCTTTCTTCGTATTAAATACTTATTTCTGTTTGGCTTTGGTTATACCACATTCTATCTTTGTCTAGATATCTGTGACAAAATAATACACATATTTTTGTAGGTCTTATATTGAGCAACACTAAACTACACAATCATGCTTTATTAAAAATTGAAGAACTATTGAAAATTCATGGCAAAAACCTTCAGGATTATCCATCCATGCCTTTACCAGAAGATTGTTCTGATAGAAGTACAATAAATAGATTGATTTTGGCTGAGTTGGACTTTGATAGAGTTGCTCTTCAACATCAACTGCATGAATATCTCAATAGTTTCACTGATGAACAAGCCACAATATTCAATTCTATCATGAATGCTGTTAATACGGGTTATGGTGGTGTCTTTTTTGTTTATGGTTATGGGGGGACAGGTAAAACATACTTATGGCAAGCATTGTGTGCGTCACTGAGATCAGAAGGAAAGATAGTCTTGAGTGTTGCTTCCAGAGGAATTGCCTCACTATTACTACCCAATGGAAAAACTGCACATTCACAATTTGCCATTCCCCTTGCAATAACTGAGGATTCGGTTTGTAATATACATCAGGGATCACCTCTTGCTGAGCTTTTGATAGAAACCACCATGATAATATGGGACGAAGCTCTTATGGCAAACAAGTACTATTTTGAGGCATTGGATAGAACACTGCGAGACATAATGAAGCTTCCAAACCCCAATGCTATAAATCAAGTGTTTGGGGGAAAGACAATTGTCCTTGGTGGCAATTTTAGATAAATTTTACCTGTTATACCCAGAGGTAGTCGAGAGGATATTGTGTTCGCCCCTATCAATGCATCTTACATATGGAATGATTGCAAAGTATTTAAACTAACAAAAAATGTAAGGCTGACTACAGGTAATTCGTCACAGTGTTCTAAGGAAATAGCTGAGTTTGCACGCTGGATTGTGTCAGTTGGTGATGGTGAAATAGATGTAGAAGATGGCACTAATGATACCATTACTATTCCAGAAGATTTGTTACTATTCCCCTCAAGTGATGCAATGGATTGCATTATTGGTAATACATATCGAAATTTACTTAATAATCGGGATGATAAATCTTATTTCAAAAACCGTGCAATACTAACATCCAACTTATCAACAGTTGATGATGTTAATAATCATATGCTTTCAATGTTACCAGGGGATGAAGTTGTGTATCTTAGTGCAGATAGTGTTTCTAAGCAAGATGGTATTAGTGCCTCCATTGCACAAATGCACTCAGTTGAGTTCTTGAACAAAATCACCATGTTTGGTTTGCCAAATCACAAATTGGTCTTGAAGATTGGATCTCCTATAATGATGATGAGGAATTTAGATAAATCAATAGGATTATGTAATGGAACCCGTTTGGTTGTCACAAGATTAGAGAAACATGTGATTGGAGCAGAGATTATCACAGGGATTGGTACAGGCCAAGAAGTCTTAATTCCACGCATTACTATTACACCATCAGAAACTTCATTACCATTTGCATTGTGTAGAAGCCAGTTTCCAATCATGCTCTCTTTTGCCATGACAATAAACAAAAGTCAGGGTCAAACTTTAACAAATGTTGGCTTATTTCTACCTTGTCTTGTTTTCACACGTGGTCAGTTGTATGTTGCTATCTCTAGAGTTCAAAATAAGCAGGGTCTCAAAATACTGATTCTTGATGATCAAGGAAACCCCACCAACAAGACTTCCAATGTAGTTTTTAAAGAAGTTTTCTACAATCTATCTCTTTGATTCTTTATTCCACAGGGGCTAATGTAGAATGATGTTATTTATGCCCGTGTTCAATTTAAATGAGATGTTTTGTGTGTATGTGGGTAATGGTTGGTCAAGTAGAAAGGCTTGTATGTATTGAGTTCTTTTATGGGCTTTGTATAGGGTGCTATTTCTAAGGGATATCATGGCATGTTGGCTTATTTGTGTGCCCAACAGCTACCTCAACTGCCATGACTGGAAACGTAGCCTAAAATGTCGAGTAGTGGATCTACATGATATGCTTTTTATGTGGATGGCGTAACACAGATATTTTATCCGTATTTGATTTACGCTTTTAAAAGTCTATCCATAAATAAACGTGGTTTAAATGCTTCTATGTCTATTTATAAGGGTGTATTGGGCATAATATCATACTTATGAAAATAATATTGACCAACTATGGGCTTTTCTGATTTTGATAAAAAAAAAAATAGACCAACGTGCTTAGTAGTTATTCAAATTTGATGTAGAACAAAAGTGCTAGAAACACACAAAACCGAGCAAAACAAGTAACAAAGCATACATGTGGTCCCCGATCATTTGCGGAGGTTGAGTTCTCTGTAGTAAGTTGCCTCTTCACTACACTTTATTTTTTTATCCATTTTTTTATTTTTCAAGATTTGTTATTTTTGTATATTATGCTTTATAGAGAGACCCCACCACTGGACAGCCTGCCCCCCCAGATCAGGTTTGGGAGATAACACATACTAGGAAGACTGCAGATGGCCAGTTACAGTGGGTGGATTCGCGATCTGAAGAGATTCATGTATGTATAAATATCTGTCCTTTATATTTAATTAAATAATTATATTTTTTTCATTCATGTAATTTGTAATTTGTAACTATAGGATCGCATGCATGAGCTCGTTCAGCAGCAATCCTTAGAGAGTGATGCTCGAATAACCTCTGATGAGATATTGACAGCTGTTCTTGGTGAGAGGTCAGGATATGTTAGAGGAAAAGGTTATGGAGCAGAGCCTCGGAGGAAGAGACTTCACACTCAATCTAGTGATTCACTTGAGAATGTACGCACCCAATTGTATGAAGAGTTTGAAAGAAGATTTCAAGAGGAGCGAGAAAAGATGGAAGCAAATCTTGCTGCAGAGCGAGAGAGGATGGAAGCAGAACGTGCAGCAGAGCGAGAAAAGATAGAAGCAGAACGTGCTGCAGAGCGAGCAAAGATGGAAGCAGAGTGTACGCAACTTGAACAAAGGATGGAGCAGTTGATGGAACAGAGAATACAAGCTCAGTTCACTGCTTTCATGCAAAAGATGCAGTTAAATGCTCCTGCAGATACCCCTACTTCTAGCGTCCCTAATATTGATCCCTCTACGTAATTTTTCTTCTGTATTATGTAATGTATGTTTTAATTGAATAATTTTTTTTTCAGTTAGAGACATAAAGAACACTTTCATGGTTATAAATCTTATTATTTAATATACCATATTTGTGTGTTAATTACTTTATTTTTATTAAACCTTTTAATAATATTTATCAGCAATATAAATAAAAGTTTTTGCAGAATTAATATATTATAAAAATAATTAAAATCACAATCAGCGGCGACATTTGTCGCCGCCGAAGCTTGATTCGGCGGCGACCACAATGTCGCCGCCGAATCAAGCTTCCGCGGCGACCACAATGTCGCCGCCGAATCAAGCTTCCGCGGCGACCACAATGTCGCCGCCGAATCAAGCTTCGGCGGCGACCACAATGTCGCCGCCGAAGCAAGCTTCCGCGGCGACATTAGTCGCCGCTGATTCTCATGTTTCAGTGGCAACAGTTTTGAGCGGCAAACTCATCAGCTTTCAGCGGCGACATTCTGTCGCCGCTGAATGTCCAGTTTCAGCGGCGACTTTTTTTGTCGCCGCTGATAAGTTTCAGCCACGGTCGCTACGGCAACGACTTGGTGGCGACAAAATGTCGCCGCTGAAAGTCGAATTTTTTGTAGTGAACTATGTATAGTTTAAATTTGAATTGGTAAGTAAACTATTTATAATTAAAATATAAAAATGTTTATCTCTAATGTATTGAGAAATTTGGGTTATATTTTTTATCCTTTAGTTCCAAAAGAAAAAAAGTCCATAAACATTCAGTGTTATATTTTTTAGAGAGAAACCCGATAAAATCTGACTAAAACATCTAAACCCAAATTAAGATTTATACTTTGAACAAATTCCTAATGAGGCTATGAGACCTAATTTAGAATTTTTGAATAATGTCAAATGAATCAAATGCCTCACTTTAAATAAAAATATAAATTAATTATTTCAGTTTTCTTACTGTCAAATTAGAAATATTATATTATTTTACTTTATTATTATTCCTATTAATTAATATTATTACTATTGTTACTTCAGTTTTCTTATTATGCATGTCTCTACCATCATTATTATTAATATTAATTTTTGCATCACTTGATTTTACAACGGTGATCCATCGTTTTAAAAATTTATGTTAGTAAAAAGGGTTTATTGGGGCATAACATCATGCCTATGAAAATAATTGCGTCTAATAAAATATCAAACCACCAATATGGACTTTTCTGATTTCAATAAAAAAAATATAAACCAACTATGTATAGTTTAAATTTGAATTGGTAAGTAAACTATTCATAATTATAACATAAAAATGTTTATCTCTAATGTATTGAAACTCAATTTTATGTTATTTATTTTGTGTCTAGCTGCACAACTAACAGTCTATTCCATTAAAATATTAGAAATTAGAAATATTATTTTATTTTACCTTACTATTAATATTCATATTAATTAATATTATTACTATTGTTATTTCAGTTTTCTTATTATGCACGTTCGTATCATCATTATTATTAATATTAATAATAGCATCACTTGATTTTACAACGGTAATCTATCGTTTTAAGAATATTAATATTGTTAGAAAATTTTGACGGGTGATGAATTTTGCTTTATTATTATTATTATTGCTACATATTGTAAACGACAAAATCAACACAAAAAACTGTAAAATCCTTATCATATGGCTGTATTCTAAAGTTACTTATTTTGGCCATCATCGAAAATAAAGTTACATATTTGTCTTCCGATAAATATATAAACATCAAATCAAACTTTTATGAAGTATTGATATTGATGATAATTACACCTGCAGTTGAAAAATGACAGTTTTTATATTAAAATAATATATAAAAAAAAATTTGCCATTATATTAAGTTTCATAGTCTACAACCCAAGCATGGTTAGAGTTTTAAATTAACTTGTCAAGCAACCGCCAAATGATCACGAGATAAATCATGATCAAATTACATGCCACATTTTTCGAGTAGAGGGCAGTCACACGGTTATCGTTCCAACCAAAGCATTTTTCCCATGAATAATTTGAAAAAAAAAATGCACGATTAGGGAAAAAAAAGGGTAGAAAGATAAACGAATGGATAGCAGAACATGGGTACAAGCGTGGCTTTTATAAAAATTAAAAAAATGAAAATCTTTTATCTACATATTGGTAACGACTCCTGCTTTGTAATATGATTTTTAGTTCTTTGTACTTTTATTTTGATTTTATTTTTAAGTAATTCGCATAACAGCATAAACACAATTTACAGACGTTACTCAGCTCAAGGATTTCCCATATTTGTAGCATAATGATATAATAATAATTTTGATTTACATGGATAAACGAAGTACTTAAATAGAAGTTGTGTTTGAACTAATCGACTCTTTGTAATATATGACATTATGTAAGCATTTGAATGGATTCATATGCATCTTTTAGTTGGGATCTCATTGTTTTATTAGGATTTCATTTTGTTGGTGTCTCAAACGCGAGATTATATGCAATATTTAGATTATCGTAGTGGACTTCAAATATAAATTGCAAATATAAATATTTATAAACCAGAATCATCTTAAAGGATAAAACCATGAGATACATTAAAATATCTAAACATAGAGGCATGCATTCTATACAGTCAATCATGTAGCCACACAGGTTCTACAGAATAAAACTATCCCATAGATGGCAGCCTTCCCTCGTAGCCAACCAGGTACCTAAATTGTATATCTCCAGGATTAATTGGGTTCAGTATCACATTTGTCGTTCCCTTGTAACTATGAGCACACAGTTCTCCTGCATATAGCATTACGTTGTTAGTACAATATTAAATCTTGAGCATATATCTGTCTTGAGTCCATGCGTTGGTATAATAGTTAATTTCTTTGTTCGTGACGAAGGTACCTTTTCTCTTGACTATTAATGCGAATTGAATCAATAGGGAGTTAACGTTCTCCTTACTTTCGCGGAGTTTCTTGTGTGCCATGTCTGCAACTTCATCAAGAAGAACACATTTCATGCTCTTACCCCTGCTAGTAAGAATTGCAGTCAGGTACTGTACTTTTACACATGAATATGATAGCATGATAAACAAGGTAAAGTAGGCCGGGATTTCCTACCTGAGATCTAAGAGATTTATCTTCAGAGTTGTCTTGAACGTATTCCCCCTCTCATAAAGCTTAAATCGCCCACGGTCGTTAATCAGCCCGACAACATGTGCATTTTGTATCAATTGTTGACACAGAGTAAATTGAAGAAAATTTTGCAATTACCCTCTTAAGATATTATTGGATGGTTTTTCTTTGACTATCTTATAAAGAGGCAAGGCATCATAAACGTTCCGTGGGATATCATTGCCTTCATATAGGATGACTTGGGTAAATCTGTGAAATATGATAACATAAGGGTGATCACAAGGCATAAAGTGATTATAGTAGTGACTGTTAATTGCGTCAAATCCCTTGAAGTAGTAGCATTCTCCCCCTCTAACAATCATCCGGAATTTGTTTAGCATATCTTTCTCAGTGACTACAGCCTGGATTTTTGTTAACTGTGAAATATAGACATCATAAGTATTACATGATTATAAAAGTATGAATGCAAACATAAATTAACAAAGCCAGACCTCCCTGTCCATTAGAATAAAGTTGAGGGTTTTGATTTTACCCTCATGTGTATATTGAACATCGTTGAATACTCGAATAACAGAGACACATATGGGTATGGTGAGGCAGTCTGAATCTATACTTATGAGAGGTAGGTCCATCACGTTATCCATTGCCTGCTATTACGTGTGAGTAGAGCTAACTATATGAGAATTGAGGGATTCCATCTGTTGTGATTCTTTTATAGACTTTGTATAGGGTGCTATTGGTAAGGGGTATCATGGCATGTTGGCTTATTTGTGCGCCTGTTAACTACCTCACTTGCCATGATTGAATACATGGCCCTAAAATGTGGAGCAGTGCATCTACATGATATGCTATTTATGTGGGAGGCATAATAGAAATATTTGTCCATATGTGATTTGCGCTTTTAAAAATCTATCCATAAAAAACGCATAGTTTAAATGCTTCCATGTCTATTTATATTGGTAAAAAAGGTTTATTGAGGCATAATATCATACCTGTGAAAATAATAGTGCCTAATAAAATATTAAACCACCAATATGGACTATGACTCGGGAAATGGAGAAATAAAGTTACAGAACAGTGATCGCTATGTTCCTTGTATTTTGTTACATAGATATTGGAATATTGATAAATTCAGATTTGTTATGTCAGTTCATACAAAACAGTAATTGCTGTGTAAATTATTTAAAAAAAAGTGTCTCTTATCTTATTAAAGATTAAAGATTAATAGACAAATCCCCGTCAATCAGTATAATAGTTTATTATACTTTTTTAATAGCCTTTTTAATAGAGCCAGATTCAGTTAAAATCTCCACGTCCCCAACTTAATTTGAAACAGTCAAATCTTTTAAATATTGTTGTTTCGTATTATTATGAAAATAATTATTTTTATTATTATAATCAAAGTACATAGTATAATATCTTAAGTATGATAGAACAAAATATAATAACGTAATATATCATCACATGCCGTATATGTAGTATATTATTATAGCTATAATAAATATAATATTATATAAAATATGATGTAATATAACTTTGTGATTATAATATATATTACGTAATGTATATTTAAATTATTTGCTCTAACCCCTTATGCTACCATTTATGTAAATAAAAATATTAATTTTAGACCAAAATGGAAATACAACGAAACAAAACTTGTCATCATTATGTACAAAGAAGTCTTTTGCAATCTGACTATTTGATTACTTAAAAAACTCTTTACTTCTATAATTTTTCATTCAGATTACACATGGTCTATCTTTAACGCTTTATTAGCCTAAATACAATTAATGAATTGATTCTTTATGCTGTTGTTGAAAACAAGTAGCATGTTTTTCTATGTTGAAAATAAGTAGCATATTTTTTTTAAGTTTTGCACTATC